AGGTATCAGAACGAAGAAACCTCAATCGCCGGAAGAGGATTTAACGGCGGATCATACACCACAACCACCACAACCAGCGACGGAGTTCCCAAAGGATTCCGATTTAAATCCAACCAACAACAAGAAGAACAAGATCCTAACCCTAGCGGAGATGTGCTTTTACGGTGGGGACAACGAAAACCTTGTCTCCGATCCAGAATCTCAAGACCGGAGATCCGATCAACCACCACCGCCGATGATTCCTTGTCTTCTTCAGGACAAGTGAACATTCAATCGAATAAGCTACGAAGAAGATCAGTGAATCCGTCTATGCCACCACCACCTGCGCCGGTTTTCTCTGGTCGGAGTACAAACCCTAGAAATGGTTTCGTCGCCGGCAAGGAATCGTCTCCTACTGGATTCTTCTTTCCTTCCAGGTTTTTAGCCCCAAATCTTTTTTTTCCTATTTTTGATATATTAGTTGGGAACCTAAACTGTATTTGTCAATTTTGATTTTGTCTTTTTTACGGAATTGGAAGTTAAATTTTCTTTAGATTTTTGTTACTTGTAAATGAATTAGGTTTCCTTATGTTACGTTTTTTTTGTTCATCCATGAATATGTGATATATATTATTTCCTGATTTAGTTAATTTAAAATTATATTTTTATTGTATTTTCTAATTTTTGAGATCCAAAACGCTTTTGGTTCATCTTCAGGTTAAAGCTTTTTAACTAAAAAGTTTGGTGATCCAATAAGGAATTTACAATAATACCCTTGGAACACACTAAGAAGCAGTTGTGTGTCTTTTGCCTTTTTCCCAAATCTCTGTTTCTAGGTTTTTTGGTTTTGTTTTATCATTTGGTTGAAAAAATATAACAAATCTCGAATTTTTCTCGTCTTTGTTTGACCTAATCTTCAAAGATGGCTCATCGTTTGAAATCACAAATATTAATTTGATCTTTAGATTTTTCTTCTTTATTGTCTTTTTGGTCCCTCTTTAAAATTTTATTATGGGTCTGCGTTTTTTTTTTTTAATTCTGATTCTTAATAAAAATATGTAAATGGGTACTACTAGTTTCCATTTCTAAAATTTCTTCCCTTTTTTTAACACAAGAAAAAAAAAACAAAAACTTTATTCATTTCACATAATTCCTTAAAACTCTCTCAAAGTCTAGAACTTTTAACCTTTGGATCATGCCCAGGAATCTAGAAGATCGATCAACCAACGGATCACCATCAAGGAACATGTCCAGATTGGTTGGCTCAAAGAGATCTCCACCATCTTCAGACCAAATAGAGAAGAGATCAAGCCTTAGAGATCAGAACCAGAGACAAAACGGGTTCGATCATAACCACCAGAGAGTGAACAGATCAGAATCAACTGCTCAGGGTCATCAGGAGATGGCCACAAACATCAATGGAGAGAGAGAGAAAACAACAACAACACAAGTGGGAGTGATAGAGTGGCCAAGGATTTACATTGCTTTGTCTAGAAAAGAAAAAGAAGAAGATTTCTTGGTTATGAAAGGAACTAAGCTTCCTCATAGACCCAGGAAACGACCTAAGAACATTGATAAAGCCCTTCAGGTATAATTAGTTAATTAAAAAATAAATAAAAATCTTCATTATCTCTTTTTTTAATCTCATTTG